AAAAATATTTCTGATCAATTGCGATGTGTTCCAAATAACAAATATTTTATCCAGTCCAAATCAGCTCAATACTTTAATAAAGAGTTATGTATAATGTACAAAATGGTTGATACAATTTGATGAATATTTACAGCTACGGCTTCAATACCGTAGACGATTTTGGCCCGATCGTCAACAAAACATCACCCGTCTCCAGGGCAAGCGACTGGAAAAAGACACCGGTGTTCTGTCGAACCGGTGGAAACAAAATCGTCACTCCCAGAATAACTACGCAAAATAACGATCTAAACTCGAACCATTCGAGCCACAATATTAACATAAAAATGACTTTCGTTGAATTTGACAATGATAAACTTACCGAAAAGCCGTGTTATTCTCTATAATCCGCCATTTTATTTGAGTCTGTTTGCTACCTGACTCTGCCCGGTGACGTCATCATGTGCGCTATAGAAGGAGGTCTGTGATTCGTTGACTAAAATCGCCGATAGTGGGTCTCGTTGAAATCTCGTTACATAGGCATCGGTTCAGATGTATGTAGGGCGGAATTAAAAAAAACACGAAATCAAAATCAAAGTAAAATGATAATAAAATAAAAAGGCATTAATAACAAAAGTAATAAAAAATAAAATTAAAATAAGTTTATGGCAAAAATAATTAAAGCCCGTACACTACATCAGATTTTAATCAGATTGATTACAAAAGTACAAGCGTGTGTAATCAATTCTTGCTCTATTTTTTAGATCCTTGATAAATGGTAGAAGTTTCAGACTTCAAATTTGCAGTTTAAAGGTTAGTGATTGTAAAATAATTGTTACAATGTGTCCCCATATTAAATAGATGTAACCAAATAGCAGATGCAGTGATATGCCCCAGCAGCATGAAATTGACTTTCAATTTAAATTCTTGACTAGATGTAAAGCATACCAACATAAAATAAAGTACACCCATTGGTTACAAACTGGAAGTTCCATTTTGTGTTTTATCAAAGAAAAGTGGGATTCTATTATTCCAATTGGCCATGAAGCTATGCTATTTTTCTGAGAGAACACTATCTAATGCCAGTCATAAAATATTTTGAATGTTCAATATTAAACAAGACTTATGATTGGCTATTGTGTTGAGCTATTTCCTCTGCTGTAGAGTTGAAGTTGCAAATTTGCTACACAATATTTGAGCCAATAGGAAAGTTAGCTTCACAGGTGTTCAACTAGTGTTCTGTATAAATGCATGTCTGGACTCATCTGCAGTGTAGTAGCCTGCTTTAAGTGAGTGATGAGCATCTTGTGGGAATCTCTCTGAATTTATTGTGAGGAAACCTAATTTACAAGTTTATTCTGACACTTTAGGCAAATACTTAAAACCCTAGATTAAATTTATCACATTTCCACTCTGACAGTTTTTTTTTTCTCTTTTAATAGGAATTAAACGGGCCTAGAAAGATAAAAAGTAAGTAGTCCACTATTTGTCCTTAGACATTGTACTAGCAAAGAATCCATGTTTCTGAGACAAGTCTAGTTCAGAAAGCCATCTGGATTTAATTTGCTCATTAGTCATGTGAATTTAATCACCAAAACAGAAAAGCGAAGTACTTGTCAGTTTAAGTGCTTCTCCTACAACACTGCATGCATTAACATAATTTCCAATCAAATTACAATCAGTTCCTAATAGAAATCTCAAACTGCAGTTTATACCAGGACTAAGGACATTTTGCAATCACTGCTCTGTCCCTTTAGTTGTACCAAGACATGCTGAAAGAATGCATTTTTAAGCACCACACTTGTAATGTTCGTTGTGTTGAGTTTGTCACATGGGACTCCCACATTAAGTAGCAACTGGGGCTTCAAGCAGTTTAGAAAATATAGGACATGTGATGAAAACTAATTGAACTCTCTCACTGAGATTAATTTGATGATTCATGTACTCTTTACTGATGTCCTATTCCAATATGTATTTGAAATGTAATCTCTATTCCACTGAACGTTACTCACTGAAACCTTTCATTCTTTGTAGGTTATGGCAACGAAAATTGCGGGCACTTAGCTGATTGGAACCTCGTAGAAATTTTTAAAGAATATTGCTCAAAAGTTTGCTAGTTAATTTTAATAACTAGGTCTGGTTTATATACTGTCCTGATTAAGGAAAGGTTATTAAAGGAATGTTGACAGTCAATGCAATGTCTTGCGTTTTATTTGCACTCTTTCCAGGCGTTGGGTTTCTGTGCAACATTCAGATTGAGCGCACATCAGGGGCAGGGTGTATAAATGATATCATTTGATTTGAATAAAGCCAAAGTGCAAGGACTCCTGAAAGTAAAATGTTGAGGATGCAGGTGAACACTCTATGGTAAAACTATTCATATCTAAGAGGCATTTACCCCCCACCCCAACAAACTGTAGGTGCAATGTTCTTGTAATTTGGAGAGTCTAAACTTCATACGCAAAAATTAGTGTCAATGGAGTGCTTACAAATGGTTGATTACCCTGCCTTGACATAACTGGTTTAAAGTCTACTTAAATCCCAAAACTACTCTTTCAGTATTTTCCTCTTCCAGTAACAAATACTCGAGAATGAAATTGCAAATTTTGTTTACTTTGACATGTAAGATTAAACCCTGATCAGTATCTCGCATACAGTTAAATTCATCTGCACACATCAGTTATGTTTTATTTCATGACTTGATTGAAGATACCAGTCATTTTCAAGACCATAAATGCATGAAAATGGCACATTCTTGCCACTTTAGAACTGGATATCAGTCAACAGATTTGGTTTAAACTTGATACATGCACTGAATAATATAGTAACTTGATGCACATTTTATTTGCTGGATTCGTTTAAAAATGACAGGATGGCTGTTTAGTTCAAACTTTTATTATCCCTTGTTTTGCGAATGAACAGGAGCCATAAATGAAATAAAATTTTATTTCAGTGTAATTTCTCGTGCCCGCCGCCGCCGCCTTGAGAGTGCTAACAAATATATCTTCATTTTTTTTTTTCCCACCTGCCACCTAACAAATTTAAGTAGGAGTATCATGATCGAAGTCTCGTGCAGATCTATACTTTATGAGTGTTGCTCGACAGTGAATCTCTGGTATTGACGTCTCTGCATGCTGCTTTAGACTACTAGGCGAACATGGCGGCGGCATGGTGACATGCTGTGAAACTGTTGCCAAAAACCGAGAAATCCATCGTCAATGCTGAAATATTTGTGCCACAATTAGCGACATTGCCAACCAGGTTATACATGGAATAAAATTTCTTTTCTTCAGCAATGATCTCGCTTACAATTCTTTGAGAATCACACAAATCTAATTGGAAAAAAAGAATTATTTTTATTCTGCCCTCAAAAAAATTGCCTTATAAAAACTCGAGAAACAAAGTCTGGCCTTAGTATTAAAAATATCAGTTTTGGATGCATATAGTAGCCATTTTAGTTTTAACAAGCAGCTTCGCTGTTAGCAATGCAAATTTCAATTATAGAATTGAAAGAAGTCTACTTATATGTACTGACTACTGGTGTTGAAATAAAAATTTGCTACCTAAAATATTCACCCAAATCAAAGATATCACAAAATTAACAAATCTAAGGTCTACCCAAGGTACATACAATTTACATACGTATCAAAGCAATCAGACTTGTAGTTTTCAAGAATAAGTTGACTCTGACAATCACTCATATAAGCTCCACTTGACAAAGTCAACAGCGGAGCTAAAAATTAATCAAAATTAGTTTCTGTGCTTCACAATCTCATTCAAACATTTGACCTTGATGCAAGTCTGTTTTGCAGGTCAAATCCAAAATAAATGGTGGCAATTTTTTTTATTAGCTACGCTGTTGACTTTGTCGAGCGGAGCTTATCACAAATGTGATTGTCCATGTCAACTTTTTACTTGTTCGATTTCTTGAAAACTACAATTCTCATTGTTTTGATACTTAGTATATATTTACCTTGGGCAAACCTTAGATTTGTTAATTTTGATGAATATTTTTGTGATTTTTGGTAAAAAATAATTGTTGAAAACCGCAAGTCTGATTGCTTTGATACTATACATATAGGTACTACAGTTAGACCTCTCTGATTTGTTCATTTTCTAATATATTCAGTTCTATAATTGAAATGTGCATTCCAAACAGTGAAGCTAACTCAGCCAAGAGGCTGCTTGTTTTGATTAATGCATACATTTTGGAATGCGCATCAATTTGTTTTGCAATCCAATTCAACTTAGCCATATCACTTATTTCCACCATTCCGGAACCAGTTCAAATCAAATTCAAAATGGCCGACTGGTTTCAGTTTTGTATATTCTTGCATATCTGGGACTATTGTATCAATTACATGCATTGAAAGTTCATAGGAGAGGCCAATCAAAAACTGATGAGGGCCAATCTGATCAATGAAAGAATATATCCACGAAACAGTAACAACATACAAGTTTAATTTTTTCTTTGCATTAGTGTACTGACCACTGCTCCAAATGGTTAAAAGATATTTAGAATAATTCTTTAACTACAGGAGTTGTTTGTGCAGTTGTCAGTTTTGTAAGACACTGAACCATTATTGTGCATGGTGGTATATACAGCCAATTAATAAAAATTAATTAGTACAATATATCAGTGTGTAAGTTTGATAATTAACTAGTGTTTTCACTCAATATCCTTGTATATCCCTTTGAGTGCCATTTCATAAAATGTTCACTAAATTTCATCATCATTTTGGACCATATAAACAGTTTCAGATATTATTTTTAGTTTTCAACCAAAAAGTTTGTTGATTTCAATATTATCTGTGGGAAGGAGCAGACTACAATATCATTTTGGAGATGGTGCAGAAGGTTGACAATGGGGAAATGGTATTCCATGTCAACGACTACAGCTAAGTTTAGCAGATAACAGAACAAGTATTACTTAATATCCTATCCATACAAATTTTTAAATTGTTTTACTTTGGTGCAAAAGGGTCTGAGGCTGCATCAAATATCTTTTTGGTGAACATTGACAATTTGAGCACCCCTAAGAGGGTCGTCTGCATCTAGTTGTTTGGTTCTCTGTACCCTTCTTTCCTCCTGACATTCATGTAATAGTCTTTGTAAATCTGTTGTGAGTGGATGTCCTTTCCCATGTGTTACTTCAAGGATATTTAGTGCCTGCAATCAAACAAATTATTAAAAGTTATTAACTAGTATGCTTACCACTTGGACAGACCTATTGTGTGTAAAAAGTGAACCATTAGATACCCTGAGGGGAGTGTACAATTATTTGTTTTCCTTCAATTTTCAATCATGAATTCACTGTAATTTTTTATTTCCTGTGTGCATATTTTTTCCCCTAACAAATAGGCGTGCAGATTTTTTTTTCTGTTACGTTCCTTGCTTGATTTTCTTTTTCTGTGCAAATAATTTTTTTCCAATAGTCAATTTGGATTATTCCTGAACAAAAAGTGGCTCGTGGGGAGGAAAAATGAATGTCTTCATTACCAAGAAGTAAATAAATAGATTGCAACAGGCATACATTCATATGAGACATTCAATTTGTAAGCTTAGATGAACTCGTACAGAATATATAAGTTTGGGTGGTATGAGTGTGGATTGTTTACAACAAGCGTCTACCCATGAGCCTTTGCGTTTTTAGCATGTGTTATTGTTTCTTGAGACTCAATTCTCGCAGTTTGTACTGGACCTGTTGATTCTGTATTGTAGGTATCCAGGTTTCTATTGAATGTTTACAAACTCAATGAAACGCAGTAACTCCCCCCCCCCCCCACTTCTTGTTGTGGGTTTGTGTTGAGCATAGATCCCATTGGACTCAGAAAATTGGTGCAAATTAACACAGCAGTCGGAGAACTATCTAACTGGCTTCCGTTGAACGGCCTGTTCCTTTAATGTGCTCCTTCTCATCCATCGGATGATCTGGGGCAAAATATTGTAATCACTCATCTTATCTATTCACAGTTCAGACCCCATAGACCTACCCCAAATACAATTACAGAAGCTAAATCTAAGATACACTGTGAAAATAAATCGGTACAAATCATGACTTTTTTTTCTGCAAACAAAGATTTTTGGCGATGACAACAGTGACCAAATATGTGGATGAAAATACATTTCGTTGTTCAAGGAGGTAAAAAAACTAAACTGAATTGCTGGTCCAACTTTCTAGACCCAATTTTTGGAATATTAATAACAGAATAACCCACAACAGAGGGGGAAGCACACCAAAGTCAAAATTGTTTAAAAAAATGCTGTGAACTGAAGTCATAGAATCAAAGGCTACCAAAAAACATGAAAATGTGCCTACTAGTATCTTACCTCTTGTAAATATCTGTGTGCTTCTTGTAAATATGATAAGTACATCTGTAGTTTAGCAATCCTAGCAAACTGCACACCAGTGTTAGGATGATATGACGGGTAATGTAATCTGAAAAAACATAGAATTGTTATCAGATACTGATGCACTTTGTCTGGTAAAACTTAAAAAAAATGGCCGCCGAAATCTTATTGAGAGTGAGAGAGCCACAAGACCAATCAAATAGTTTTGCATTCTCTTATGTCATCGTGTCCCCAGGTCTAAATACCATGGTTACGTACTGTACAAATTTGCATAAATCGTCACACTTCAGCATTTTCTTTGCCTCAGCTGCGCAACATACTCATCACGTTGCTATGGCATTCACACCGCTCAGGTAGAGAGTAGACATCAGAGGAACATTGGATTCGATGATGGAAGCAAATAAAATGATATTTGAGTGGCAAAACAAAGTTTTATGACTCTCTGCCAACCTTATGTGTTAAGGAAAAGGCCTACGGGGTACATTTTTGAGAAAATTAGTCATAAATCGCATGGCGATGTTCAATGAAATAGTATTCTTTTATGTGTTATAGTGACATATTTTGAGAAACTTTTCCTAATATTTTTCAAAAATCGCTATTTTTAGAATATTTCCATAGAACACAATGTTAAAGAAAAATTGCATTTTTTGACACTTTTTAAAACCCAGAGTTTTCAGGACAACAAAAAGTACCCCATCAGTCACAATATATTATTTTTTCTGCTTATTTCACCAGCCTACAATTTGAGATATGGCATAATATGACAGAACCCCACACCCTCCCCTTGGCTTTCGTTACGTATGGAAGTTATTTTCACGAGTGATGCGGTGTATCATGCGGCCATACTTTCACGAGCGAAGTGAGTGAAAGTACAGCAGAATACACCGCATCTTGAGTGAAAATAACTTCCATACACAACGAAAGCCACGGGAGGGTGTGGGGTTCTGTTATTATTACATATGTTCCATATTTGATTATTTCATATTAAAGAAAGAACATGCAACAAATCAAATGGAATTTAGGTCGGGGAACCCCATTGCCCATTAATATGTTCCAATATAGCGATACGTCCTAGCAGCGCGTGTCAGTGTAGAACGCGTGTCAATGTCTGTGTGGAAATAAAATAATCATACGTCTAATCTGAATCACTGTCCGAATAAATTACTCTCCAGCAGAAACCTCCTGGTATCTCGATGTTCAATGGTTGCGGCTCTATAGTAATTGCTGATTTTACTGCGGGTGGGTCTTTCCAGAGCCCTTCAAGGTTTATATAACTCAATTTCCAGGTGATCAATATACATTAAGTTCTCCCAATCGTAGTATTTTATGTACACCTGACATGCCAAAAATGCCAAAAAACGATTTGAACTGGATAAAAATGTGTTTACAAAATAAAAATAGTTTGATAGCCAATGGAAATAGCATGTTCATTTGCATATCGACCGTGAAAATACCAAAAACATTATTGCATGGGTGATATGCAAATTAGTTTGACTCAAAATAAGTGACTGCCTAAAAGTACCACTACTGTTGTTCAAATTTCATTTCACTCGGCAAGTATATTCATGTACCCCAAGGGGAAAATATCGTACTTCTAAATATTATTTATTTCGAAAAACAGTACTCCTGAAGGGACTACTTTGTTTGCTCTCAGACCTCATTTGCATATGGGTTGTGGAAATACCGATTTTGATTTCAGGGACGAATCAAAATAAACTGCAGTACATATGTAATAATATCTCTACCATAGGAACCTATGGCATTATAATACTGACAAAATGGCAATTATCAACCCTAAGGTGGTTTACCTATCAATACGTACCTGTACGGCTCGGTAGTTTTCAAACCATAGTTCAATGCACTTTCCCATTGTTGAAGCTCAATACAGACATCCATGGCTTTATCGAACAACTGCACCATATAAATATTATAACTGTGTAAAACACTGTTTTCGAGATGTTGTTCACAAAGTTGTAATACTAATTCACAATCTATATGAGCAGTTAATGAAAATTGATATTTCTCGTTTTTAATATATTGTGATCAACGATGATGCTTGTGATATTTTTTATATAAACCCACAGATGAAGAGCATTTTTTTTTTTGTAAAATCACAAATAAAAAGATATTTTCATTTCTATAAGCAAAGTTCTGAGCTATGAATAACATCATCGTTAGTTGTGAATAAATTCACAAAATATTAGGAAGAAGGAAATTTACACACATTCTTTTTCAGTTTTGATAAAAAAAATGCTGCATATTTTAAATCATGGTTCACCTCTGCAAAATACCACAAAACATGGATATAACGATTGACATAGTCCGTTGCATTGTGACTTCATATTTTGCCAACCAGCGTGCAAAAGTGTGATAACAAAAGCCGTTTACTGATCAACACAGGCTTGTGCAATCTACTGCGATAACATTGCCCCAAAGTTGTTTTATTAAAGGCCCAGGTATACTATAAATACGCTCCTAAACAATAGGGATTATTTCCTTGCTTGTCACGCTGTACCAGTAGTAAACAGCTCCAGCCAAGCTCCAGTAAAAACGCGTTTTCTCAAACTTACATGTCTATTATGTCGTGCCAAAGTGGATGCATGTGACTATGAATATCACAGCAGTGACTGTATGTAGTATTTATGACAATAAATAGTGTACGAGCCAAGATTTTGGCGGATAAAAGTAAAAATCATGAACCGGGGAAAGGGATGCACGACTAATCTTGAATAATTACTACTGTTAATCAAAGTCACGTGATGTTGGATCGCTGAAACAGGATGCGTCATAGGCTATGCAAGTGATTAACACCATGCATTAGAATAGCCACACCTCCAATTCACACTTGCCCGGGGCAAGTGAATTGGGCCTTTAACAGGAACACGTACATGTATATTATTAACAACAGCAGCAAACAATGCCGCTATTTTATCTTCTTTCAGTCACTGCACCTGCACAGAACAGAAACAGTGCAATGGCTTATAGATTTTGCCGTGCTAAATTTTCTAAAATATTTAACGACAGATGTCCATTTATGAGAAATACCATTATGCACCACTCAAGAAATTGTGATCAGAAGTTTTAGAAAAGGTTAGTCTGTGAAACAAGGTGATTTTGTATGCCTGGCGTGATCAAGCAGAAAAGACTGAAAAAAGGATATTTTGTTGTTTTTTGGCATCTTCAATCTTGAGTAAAGCTTGCTTCACAACATTCACAGACTGTGATACGATCTGGTGATGTGTCTTGTCGTATTGATGTCCACATTTACTGCATGCTGCAAACCCTACAAAGACAAACAATATTGGTAGGGCCTTCATTTTGGGTAAAATTAAAATGTTTATAATTAAATCTGTTTCATCTGATCATTTAATCTGACCACTGAACATGCCTAATCTTAACACTGAACCCGTCTAAACTAAAGACTGACCATGTCTAATCTGAACACTGAACCTGTCTAGTCTGAACA